AACTAGTGCTGTGTGTACAAAAGAAAGGTATTCACTTTGGGCCCTTTCCAGGCCTTGTAACATGCAACTTGTCCTTTCTGGAGCAATAGAGAAGATCTCACCACTCCTCGTGCATTTCATGCACTGTCGAAATAAGTGTCCATATGCTCTTCTGAGGTGCTGGACATGCACTCTTGCGAGTGAGACAGTATTTGTAAAAGTCTCAACTCAGAAGATGCGACTTTTACGCTCTTCGGCTTGGTGGCCGATGATGCTTCCTGCAAGTCCAGACTGCCGGCTGTTTACAGCACTAGCAGGGGCTGGAATGGCTGGGGCAGACTTGACTGCAGCCACCACAAGGACTTTGGACAACCCTGCACTTTTGCTGCGCTTAGTGGAGGTTGCCATCAATGGCTGGCTTTTAGCCGGCAACACTGGTGTATCCATTGCAGGGTACCCACTACGCCATAAATCATAACTTCTGTGTAGTAGGAAAGCTATCACTATGCCATCCTTCAGAGAAGCGTGGTAAACACTTGCAAGGAATTTTGTGCAGTTTTTTGGATGCTGTGGTGACGATGAAGAATTATGCCTGAATTTTTTTATATGGGTTGGAGCATTTACGGCCCCTTCAATACTCGATGCACATTGTGTGGTGTCTGGTTGCTTCTTTGCAGTTCTAGAACACTTTATTACTCATATTAACGTCACTCCTTTCCCAGCATCAAGCTGCCTAAGGCCAGTTTGCAATGGAGTTTGAAGCACCGGCGTAGCTCATCGGTAAATACTGGGCTGGCACCCAGAAGACCCGGGTTCGAATTCCATTGTATCCTACGCATTTTCTATTTACTTCAGCATTTTTTTATTTCGCGCGATAGTGGTTACAGACACCAGTGATGTTGGACAACTACGGCGCACGCGACCCTTGTTGTGTCCTCATAACAGCTTTGACTGAAAAAAGAACACACAGGTTGACGAGGATTGTAAAAATGTGTAAAAGCCATATGAAATATTTTATGATTGGTTACTTTCTAATCACCTTTCAATCTCTTTTGTATTAGCTTAGTGGTTGTTCATTTTCTTTGTTTGCACTAACATCAGTACATATAAATGACATTAATGAACAGTTATGTAAGTAAATCATATTTTACTCAGTGAGCACAATCTTAGCATGTTTTTTGCTGTTTATTCTAAAATATGCACCCACGCCTACTATGTTTTGAATTCAAGGGAGCATTATTTGTAAGTAAATAATTAGATAATTAAATAATAAAATTAGTTTCAGAGGGATAGTAACATTGAACTGTATGGGTACTTGCTGATGAATTGAAATTTCTTTTTTAGATCCACAACTTCACAAAATCAGGTTTCGTTACATAAAGATTTTACTGTATAGCCTGTTGATAAACAATTCACTTATAACCTGCATATGCCTGACCAGTGAAGACATGATGACAGTGAAGCAGTTTTAAAGTGCCATTTGTCACAAACACTGGCTTCTGGATTCACTATGACATCGCAACACATTTTTTAAGATGAAAGCCTTTCATGTCTCATAATTGCGGTGACCGCGTCTGTCCAGCCCCCTAGCACGGTGCCAGCTGTGGCGTCTCCCTCTCATGCAGGAGAATAAATTAGCTCTATGAGCGCTGGAACGCAGATGGCATCTGCTCAATACGCGAAGCGCAAAATGAAAAAGAAAGCAGATTAGTCTCGCCTCTCACTGCAATTTGAGGTAAAGATTGAAAAAGAAAATATGCACATGTTTAATTCATGTACCATTACACTAGGAATGTAAAAAAAGACATGGCATAGTCAATGAAATGGCCTCAAGCTTTTGTCAAAGCGAGTTTAAAATTTACAAAGTGTCCATTTTTTTTTTCATAGAAAGAAGCCGAAACCAAAGCTTGATATAAATAGGAGTAAAAAAGTTTATTTTGTTTTTTAATGCATTCATGCATATTGTGATCATTTTCGGGATAGCAAGAGTGCAGCCCTAAAGTGTCAAGAGTAATATTCAGTTTTAATCAGTTGCACTGTATACTAATAGCACTAAAAAATGCTACCCCCTTCTCTCACCCATTAAAAGAGAGTCAAATATTTCATACGTAAGCAGAATATGCTGCAATGAAAACAATGTAAAGACATAAAATTCGGACAGTAAAATATGTAGCAATAGTGTGCCATAAATTATCAGCACAGCCAACATTGTTGAATATCAATGCCACTATTCTGTACCGAGTGTGTAAAAAAATGCATTTTTTTTTTTTTTTTCACCGTCTGGAGGGTCACAAGAATGACAACAGTTCATTAGCTTTCTTGCATAACCACAAATCAGCAGCTCTTCTTACCTTTAGCAATAACAGCCAACATGCTACAGGGTCTGATATTTGGCTCCTCCAAGTAATTATGCATGGCATGAATGTAAAAGTACCATTTATAGTCAAAATGTCAAGTTCTGATATTTACACAATATTAAAAACAAAAATGGAGTTCCTTGCTAAAGAACAGTACTACTTGCTACTATTAGTGATGCAATGTGGCAAAACAGCAGCACAAACACGAACTTAGCATTTACCCAGATTACGTGTAACATTAATCAGAATGAGTGTAATCAGGTTTACACTACTGCTGATACTTTGCAGCATAAAAACAAAAAAAGGCAATATACTCGATCCCATAGAACAGTCAACTTACACAAACGTACCTTCCACATGAGGGTACTGGTCCCCAGACATATTGTTCGTCAATTTGTACTCATAGGTACTACAGTTTATAGAACATGCAAGCACATAAAGTGTGCCAGTTATTGTTTAAAGGGGTCATGACGCCCAATTTTCAACCATAATCTGTGCTGTGCGCGTCGATTCTTGTACGTTTACAGACAAGCTGGCAAAATTTTAGCGAATTTAATCGAGCTGTCAATTTATAACTGAATATTTTTGTAAATGAGCGAGCGACTTGAGAGTAAGGCAACACTGGCGTGCTCGCTAGCCGCGACGCCACGAACCGCTTGCTGGTGGGGCTGCTGCACGGTCTGCATTCCGGAGGACGATCATGTTTCGTAGTCGGCTGCGCTTGCAATCAAACTTTTTCTGCGATGTTGAACTTGCCACTAGAACTAAATGACTTCCATGGTTTGAAACAATGCCACTGCGTCACCCATGTAGCGCTGGTTCTTGCAGCAAGCAATTTCAGAGGTCAAAAAGTGTCCTGTGAATGTGCACTGCGTATGCTGTTTGCCACTACGAATAGATATTCATTTAAACTCTCTGCAGGCAGTGCCATGGTTCAGCGTCACACTTGATATTTTCTTTCACCGAAACCGAATGGAATCGACTGATTTCAAGCAAAGATTTGGCCAAAATGTATATCGTAGGTAACCCTAGCGCCGCAATGACATGCCGCTTGCATCGGCTTATTGTTTACATATGCCGCATGCAACAACCGATCGAAAAAAAAAAACAGTCCCGACGCAGAGCATTGCTACGACCACTTAATTATTATATTATTCAGCACCGCAAGTTGTGCATGCACGTATGCTAGTTGAAAAAATATGCACACTTTGCCGATTCCACGGCGCTAAGTAACACTTGCTCGCGAACGCAGCAACAACGGACCCCTGTACCCCAAGCTCGCTTTTTAACCTGAAACACTTGAAATAAAGCTACTTGTGATTGCAGAGAGGTGTCTGCAACATCGGCCCCAATGACGAAGTCGTCGGCATCTTGGTTCACATCGTCTTCCGAAGCTTTCTTCGTGCCTTCAGCTGGTGGCAATGGAGTCGAAGTCAAAATGTTCAATGTACTTGACGTTGTCGCCAAATATGGTGATGGTGCCGGTAACACACCAACACTTGCAACCCACTGACACGTGCAAAACACGCGGCAAGCAACACTCGCAACACTGACCGTGTGCGTAAGGTGCTGTTTGATAGCAGACGATGACACTGCTTCTTCGGCTTGTGACGTCGTGCACGCCATGACAAAATGGCAGTCGCCGGCGGTGGGCATAGTTTGCAGCCGATGACTTCTACGTCTTATTTTGAACTGAAATAATCTCTTACAGTCCAATTTTCGCACGTGTACAAGCATATTTGATCCTCTACCTTCGTAGTTTGCAGCCGATGACTTCTACGGCTTATTTTGAACTGAAATAATCTCTTACAGTCCAATTTTCGCACGTGTACAAGCATATTTGATCCTCTACCTTCGTTTTTCACCGAAAACCATCAATTATTGGGTGACCATGTCATGACTCCTTTAAGCGTAAAGCCAAGCACCATTAAATGTCAACAATAAACTTCACAAGCACAAAATTCACTTTCCAATGATTTTTCTTCAATGCATTGAATTTCATGTTTATACCTGCCAAGTGTTCAAGGATTCTGAATCCGGGAGATATCTGCAATGGAGGGGGGGGGGGGGGGGGGGTCACGTTGAATTATTTTGCAGTTTTCTGGTACCAAAAGAAAAAAAAAAAAGCCAGCCACAGCGACAGCTACAAGAGGGGCCTTTCAGAGCATTTTCAACACACTCATAGGGTAACTACTGCAAGCATTCTTGCTTGATACCCACTAAGGCATTGTTAATAAACTTTTGGGTAGTAGGCCAACATTCGCTATGCTATTTTTTTTCATTCTTCTGAGAAGCTTGGTATCCGCTAAACACTTGCAAGGAATTTTGTGCCAAATGTTCATGCAGTGGCAGACGACGACGAGGAATGGGTATGCGCCACAGTTAATCGACGACGAGGAATGGGTATGCGCCACAGTTAATCGGGGAACAAGAACAAGCTTTAGTAATGGGTTGGAGCATTGGACGACCCATTTGTTACGCTATTCACATTGTGCGACGACTGGTTGTTCTTTCGCTGTTTTAAAACACTTTAAAGTCATATCAACGCGATTGCTTTCCTGACATCAAGCCTGCCTAAGGAAACTTTGCCAACAAATCGCAAGCACCAGCGTAGCTCAGTGGTAGAATACTGGGCTGGCACCCAGCGAACCCGGGTTCGAGCCCCATTGTGTCTTTAGTGCTACATTTGCCAACAAGTCGCAAGAACTGGCATAGCTCAGTGGTAGAATACTGAGCTGACACCTAGCAGACCTCGATTTCGAGCCACACCGTGTCTTTGATGCTAGGTCTTTTTTTCTAATTTCGCGCGATGTGGTTACAGACATCGGCGGCGGCTTTCAACTGCGCGTGACCTGAGTTGTGATCTGATAACAGCTTTTGCTGTAAAAAATATCGCCAGAACAAGAGCAGGGCGGGAGGGGGTCACAACTGCAAGCGTCAGCATTGCAGCCTTATAATGGCTTGGAGTGCCCAAACACACGAGGAGGGTTTCCCACTAAGGTGAGAGTTGCAAATTAGGAGCGCAAATCATACCGAAATTTCGCGTCATCAAAAGAAGTAGCAAAATCTATTTCCATCGAAACAACTTGCTTATGTCTTCTTAGGACACACGTGAATAAAAGTGATGGCGCAGCTGGCTGCCGTGAAAGTGCAGGTTAAAGCTTTTCTCACTGTTAGATTTTTTTAAACAGGAACAGTGGTTGCAACGAATAATAGTCCCTTTTCAAACTGCATGCACTGGCAAAACTTAGTCGTTTTATGTTAACTATGATGGCAACCGCCGTGGTTTTGTCCACAGAGTTTGCGGAAAGCAGCACTGCTTTCACTGGTCAAGTGTTGTATACGCGTACACTTTTTGAGTTCTGTCAGTTACGTCGTCACCATACATGATCGTGCCAAGAACAAGCGCGGTTGTGGCAACGACAACCACACGAACTGTAGTGGTTGCATACGTACTTCTGAAGCTTCAAGCACGCTGCTCTTGGCTTTCGTTAGACGGTTTCCATACTAATGTTCGTGTCACCCGCCGCAATTAGAAAATGTGTTCGGAACATTCGAATTCAGGCCCAATGAACATAGTGGAATTAGGCTGGGGAATTTTACGAATTTTTATCTGCCACGGTTTCACATCACTGTGATTCTACTGCACGTTTAGATGAACGCCTCTTCTCATTTATAATAATATGAGGCAGGTTCGAAAAGCCTGGAGCAAATCGAGCTGCTTTTTTTGTCAATGCGTTCTTATCATGCACGCAAATTTAGATTTTCGGGAGATTTTCATGACAACCTCACAAACAAGAAACGGTCAAAATCCGAGAGTCTCCCCAACTTGGCAGGTATGCACGCTACAAATAAAACAAATATAAAAGATAATCAATGAGTTTTCTCCCACACAACCACACATTGAAAACACACACTGAAACAACATGACTTTAGTAAGCCGACACGCACCGAGTACAACACAGACATTCAAAATTTTGAAACATGGTAACAAAAACAAGTTTGTAAACAGAACAAGGATACAATAAAGCACTTTTTGACACAAGCATAATCCTAAAATTCCCCATCTAAAAACACTAGATAGGATTCCGTGAGAAACAGCAAACTGACAGATTTCATTATTCTAAGTTTGGACATCCATGTTGCTTTACAGTAAATGCATGATGATAAATGTGTGATCAAATTTAACCATCTCCCTTGGCACAGGTAAGTGATATAATGCAGGCATAAGTAGAGCCCTGCTATAGGCACACTCATCGTCCACTCTCATATCCTGGAAGAGTGCCTGCAGTGTTTTCTGCAGGGACTTGTTGACCAGGAGAGTGTAAGTGTTACCCAGGTCCTGGCGGCAGGTTGGGCAGCTGAACACCTCAGCCTTGAAAGACCTTTGCAAACAGCTCTGTAATGTAAAATGATGGGAACAAAACACCATGGTTATGCAGAGGGAAGCGCAGTGTTTTCAGCAACAAAGTAAGCACTGATGCCGATGCCAATTCAGAAATGTAAGCATATAAAATTTTAAAAACATTAATATTTCTAATTTGTAGGGTATTGTTAAAGAGGATGTCTATGAAGTATAACATACATCTAAAAGTACTAAGAAGAAGACTGACACTTTGCTGTACTTGAAACACTCGATGTTGATCGAGCCATCAGACAATCTATTCCTTCACAGCATGAAATAAGCCAGATTATCGTTTTCTTTTTCACGAAAGACCGATATCGAACTGTCCCTTACCAAAGACATTACTCAGAAAACAATATGGTTGTACAGATGTATATGCTAATCTAGTCTTCTCTCAGAGATATAATTGGAAATTTATCTCTCCACAATGCTTGTTTTTATGCAAATAACAAACAGAACACAAAGACAAAAATGTAAACTACTACTGTCCTCACTTACTTTTAATTTTATACCTTCATGATTTTATTACACTGAAGGCTTCTCTAAATGCTATATACTAGGCTTGTGCAAATGGTGAAATTTAGGTTAGAAGCGAATGGTGATTTTGGTCGAATAATTTCGGATTGAATAGTCTGTGCGAGCGTGTGTGTGTGTGTGTGTGTGTGTGTGTGTGTGTGTGTGTATATACTCCAGTAACGTTATATACATGCTACATTGCAACATCTGCGGGCAAAAATATATCGGCCAAACAGACACGCCATTTCGGCTGCGGTTCAATAATCACCGGTACCACGCCACTTCACTGCCGAAGCTACCTTTATCTAGACATCTGCGCCTGCCAAACCACAGTTTTGAAAATATCATCGTAACTCTTTTGCAGTCCGGTTTCTCAAACAGACGCGAGCGCGAACAGCGTGAGGCATATTTTATTTTCAAATTTCGTACATTAGTAGCCGGCATCAACGAGGACCCCGGAAAACTCAACTGCCTCCGAGAAGTAAGCCAGGAGAAAATTGGTGACAAAGATTGATAGCTGGAGACCATGCTTTTTTCTGACTGACTCGTACGTGTACACTGTCCTTTTTTTTTCACATGCACATACAAAGTGTTTACGTTCGCCTACCACTTCATGACCATTGAATGGAAACGGACGAAGATTAAAGGTAAATAGCCGACCAACCCATCAACGAGAAACCTTTCCTTTACTCACGCCGCCCACCGCCCGCCGAACGACCCATTACGGGGAAACTCCTTTCTTTACGCGCGCCGCCACGGACCCTCCCGGCACCGCGGCGACAATCTTGGGTGGCCCGACACACGTCAAGAACTGAACAGCACGTGATATGAACCGTATGTGAATGTAGACGGACAGTTGGCTTCGTTCTCAGTGTTGACAGTGGTTCTTCCTCTTTTTTACTTTCTTTCTTTTCTTTCTTTTTTCGTCTTTTTTTCTCCCCCTTTTTTTGTTTTTTTTTTCCTTTTCTAGTTCCCTCTCACTCTCGCAAACGTCTTTCAAGGCGAGAGGGACGCGGCAGCAAGGAAGTTTGGAAGCTCATGTCAGTATAACTCATCCCCTGATGAAGGGAGGACCCCTCCCGAAACTGTTGGGAAATAAATATATTATCCTTGTTGACAACGCTCCCGTTGTGCCATATCCATACCTTCACCTTCACGAAGACTAACTGGCCCATTGAATTATTACTCCCACTATATATATATATATATATATATATAAAGACTTAACTAATCTGCACAACATGTTTTAAGAGTTAAGATAAGGCCTTTGTGCAATGCTGCGGTTGTTCAAAAAGTCTAAAAACTTTGAGTGGTCGCAGAATTTGGCTTTCGGTAGAATACAAGGAATAACTTGCAAAATATGTAACATTTTAAAATTTTCTATAGCTAGAGCATATAAGCTGGCATAACAAGCTTTCTAACTATAAAAAATTATGAATCGATCTCAGGGTAATATGTTCATTTAAAGAAGCCCTGCAACACTTTTTCAAGTAACCAAGGAATGGATTCACTACAGAAGCTCATTGCCTCCCGAATTCACCGCCACAAAAATTTTTTAGGATCTGTCCAGTACGAGCGGAGTTAAAAATATTTGTCACATGCTGCAATTGCATTCTCTTTCGTCCCGACTAAAACACTGGAAGCTAAGCCGGGAGGGATGGCATGGCGAAAGAAAATACGTCGCGCGTGCCTCGTTACCTTGAGCCTTTTTTTTTTCTTGCATACGCAGCTTTTCAGTGCGATCCAGCACACACGTGGGCAAGTCCCGGCCTCTGACCGCGGCTCCAATAACAACTGAGCGCACCATGCTCAAATCGGTCAACAGCTGATCAATCACTGTGACGAGCGATTTTTAAGCTTGTGGCGTCATTTGTCGAGAGAAGAGAAAGCAAGTTATAGCTGACTGAGAATCTGATGTGAATTGCAGGCCGCATTCTGCGCTATAACAATTGGCTCGCGTGTTCTCGATAGCCCTGACTACCTATCAGCAGCATTTTCTGACCATGCTCGAAAAGTGTTGCAAGGCCCCTTTTAAATGTGAAGTAAAGCTTCACGGCAGAGCAGATTTTTCCTGGATAGGTTCTTGCACGGTTTAGCACCCCTACACTATTGTGAAACCACCTTTACAAGCGTTTATATGCAGTAGTTTAATACAGTACAGCTATTCGTTCATTGTGAATACTTCGAAATTTTCAATAATTTAAATTTAATCAAAGTGAATTCTAACACTCTACTATTCATTCGAATAATCGAAGCATTTGAATATTCGCACAAGCCTGCTATATAGAGTAGAACCTCACTGATATGTTAAAAAAAAAGCGGAAAACAAACGTATGATCAGAGTCCAGTAAAAAATTGAGCTGTCAAGCCCATATTGAGATGCAATGGCAATACGTTTATTTCTCTAAAAACCATACAGGGACTCCTTAATTTTCGAACTTTTGACATGTCGCTGGCAGCCTGAGGTCAGCTAGCTAGTTACGGCCCTGACAGGAAACAATGTCATGGTCATGTGTGTTGGCACCCCGACACCACCCCCAACCCAAATATTGCAAAATCAAACACTGGGACAACCAGCGTAAACATAAAGAAAACGCTACTGCCGTGGCAAAAAACAAATCTTTGCGCCACGTGAACATTGGTTCTTTCAAGGTTGCTGCTTGGAAATATCGGGCTTGGTCTACGGAAGAGCAGAGTGATATTCTTTATCATATGCATTTGGGATAACATCACGTAGGTTCACACGTTCACTGGCGACTCGCCCGGTCCGTGAAAAAAAGTTCCACACCGCTAATGGCTTAACATGCACAACTCTGCGCAGTGCACATAGCAATCGCAGTACAACATATATGTGAAATCTTTTGAAAATTATAAGCATCCACGAATGCGACAGCTGCTCATGGCCACCGGCAGCCACACGCACTAACTACGTGACATCGGCGTAAGAAGAGGACAATTATCCTGACGAAGCGTCCATGTTCGATAAGCATTCATGCAGGTCTACTCGTTTTAGGCTAACATCACCTAAAACGCCATCTACTTAGTACATGTGGCTGGCCGCGGTTCCGCATTGTCATTTTAGGAGCGACATTTCCCGACCCCATCAAAAAATAATGGCACGCATAATAACAATTTAAGGTGAAATGCATCCGCATTGTGATACGTTGAAGCCTGACAAAGACGGTGGTGAACCGCCCATCATCTCTTTCGTCTGATAGTCCGAAACTGCCCAGATATCTTTCAGAACAAATTTGTCCAGGCAGCTTCCCCTATGGCACGCAAAAACGAATGCCAACTAGAACCCAGGCGATGAGCGGAGCAACCAAAAACCAATGCGCTCTGGCAAAAAGTGTGAAGGAAATGAAGTTTTATCGACCATATCCACTGGGCGCAATAGCGGCGTTACTATGGCTCTGTCAGAAAACACATACCACTTACTGCTTACGTGCACGTGCCATGACCTGCTGAGGAGTGGCGGCATTTGCGTTTCCGTAGGTATCAGACTGAACTTTGATGGACTGGAGGAGTGACAGCCTCTATTCTTTGTGCTGCATTGTTAGCTGTGCAATATTTCCCTATGGCTGTTGAGGCAGCCGTGGGGGTCTGAACGAAATGTGTGGAACTAGTGTTCATTTATTTATTGTGGTACGGATGAAGGATTCGGAATGCTCAGTGAAACTGTGGCAAGTGCTACAAAAAAAAGACATTTTTTTTAAAGCCGTTTGAATATTTTAACAGCTCGTATCGCTGTCTGCCTTCAGGTTGGTGTGTGGTTGAGAGAGTGGCTATCGGGCAATTCGACGATAAGTAATTCCGAGAATACACGCAGGGGTCAATAAAGCAAAGCAGCGCGGATGTGGGAAATTAGGCACTGCGGAAAAACCACCATAGCTGTGCAGCAGCTGTCTGCTACTTAGCGCTTCACAAGCAGACGAGAGTGCCTTTCTGCACACCTGAATGAGAAATCGTGGCTGCAGAACATATGATACGACTGCATTTTCTTGCGGTGCTGAACGTTGCTGCCTAATAGTAAATTGTATTTTTCGGGAACATCTCAACCGAAACATATTACACACAGTGCTGCAGGGTTATTTTTAGTTTTCACGATTTCAAATTTAGCAACTGGGAAATCAAACTATTAAGTAGGAACGTATCACTGAGGTTCTGCTGTTCTACTGCGAAATAGCTGAAACATTCTCCTCCACTCTTATGGAAAAGTTTTCCAAGTTAACAGATGTCTTCACTAAGTTTTGTAATAACGAGAAAACATGCCCAGCCAATGTGTACATCATACCTGGCACAGGTTATGGTTGCAGGGTGTCGTCACAGGATGACAGACTAGTTCTTGACAGCACACACATGTAAACACTGTTTGAACACGATCCAGAAAAGCCACCCGGCCTGCTGACGTCATTTCCAAGCATTCACTCCAAAGGTGCTGGTTACATTTATCTGCTTCTATTGTCTTGCACACCGATGCCTCTAATGCCCAGCAAGTTTTGAGCTGCCCACTGCTGGCTCGTCGCTTCTTCGAAATAGGCGCATCTTCACCAGAGCTCACTGGAAGTTTCACAAGATATTTCAGATTAACACAATATTCACACTTCCTCCAAGCGAAATTCGTAAAGTATACGATAGTTTTAACAGTCACACATCTTACTGTTCCTTCCGATGTGGTTTAAGAGCTAAAATAAAGCGCATTCGAAGGGCTACTGCTGTTACCTGTTCACTTATGATTAAAAGCAGTACTCTTGAATTATCATTCCAGTGACATATTGTATGACCTTGCTGCAGATATTGCTGGGTTAAAGGGACATTAAACAGCAACAATGACTCAGTTTTTATTAATAAACTGCATTCTGAGAACTATAATTCCATAAGGTTCACTGTTGTAAGTTCATTATTAGCGGAGAAAATGAAGTTTGAAGTTTTATTTTTGAATTTCACTACCTCACGAGCGAAGATTTCGCACTGAAATTTTCGCGCTTGACATAGCAAGTTTAAAAATGTGTTTTTCGTATTTTAGCGATATTGGCTCAATGAAATTTACCAAAACTTCTTTAACTAGGTCAACAGCACCCACAGAGTACAATGTGCTTCATTTTGTCAAGTAGAAGCTTTATGGAAGATATTTATAAGCAGAGATATTCTGACCACTATAGTTTTAATTATTTCAATACCACTACCATTTCGTCCAAAGTAAGGCTGCTTTTTTATGAGACTTTACTCATGTTTTCAAGAAGAAGATTACCTCTAGGCCGTTTGCCTTTTCCTTTGGCAGCTGTAGCATCATTCTCTGAGCCAGAATTGTTTGCATCACCATCTTGAGACTCCAGGTAGCCGTCGGGATACTATAAAGCAGACATATTTAGAATAAAAAAGTATAAAAATGCAGGCACATAAAAATAAGAAGAAATGAATATAAACAAGGTTGTGAAATATTTCTAAGCAAATCCTACAATTCAGTTGTGGAACTGTAAAAATTGTGCAACAGTATGACAGGAAAAACAGAACATACACAATGATCAGTTACTTACTTTACATGCAAATATCTTGACAAATTCAAGTATATCAATCCTACGGCAGCACCACCAGGTCTGCATCAATTTAGTAGCATTATACATAATCAATATTTATTGATTACTTTATTACAATGTTACTGTATGGCGTCAACAGTACTGGATTGCTTCAGAAGCTCCACATTTTAAACACAAAGATACAGACGATTGTTACATTTAGCCGGTTCACTCATTTGAATAATAAAGCACTAAACATCAACCTAACATTTGACTGGTTACAGCAAGTGTACCTTTAAATGCGAACCATTATTCAGTGAACTGCAGGCACTCTGGCCATTTCTTTCTTTTTTTTCTTCTCTGTCTGTGTGTGTGCTCTCGTGATCATCTCTGATATTTGACACCATAGGTCGGGGACAAAAATTTAGAGCTCACTCACTCATTCGTGAAACACATCTCGCCCTTAGGGCTCATTCGGACTCTCACTCACTCGAACTACAACTGACTAAAATTTTCTTCAATCGGACTCAGACTCGCCAAACTAAAAATCACTTGGACTCACTCAGACTCACAGCTCTGAGTCTGAATGACTCTGAATGAGTCGACTCATCACTCTGTTAGCGAACTATTAGCTGTTTTGTCTGATGTGTCAATGCTTTTTAGCACCTATATCTCGCACAATCAGTGCTTTGCTTGGTGCTCTTGATCTCATATCTTTTACAAGGTTTTTAGAAGTGGACTTGTCAGTCTGTTAGTGGACTATTAACTGTTTTGTCTGAAGTGTCAATGCTTTTTAGCACCAATATCTCGCATAATCGGTGCTTTGCTTGGCGCTTTTGATCTGGTTTCTTTTACAAGGCTTCTACAAGTCGACTCATCAGTCTGTTAGCGAACTACAGTCGAACCCCGCTACATCGAAACTGAAGGGGGTGTGGAAAAAATTTCATTAAAGTGAAAATTTCGTTGTAGTGAAATCGAAAAAATATAGCCGATCTGAACTAGCAAAACAAAGAAACATTTATTCTCAAAATTCAAAAAGTGTCCGCTACTTTTTATTCTATCCCAGCAGCGTCCCGGCGCGATTCTCACCCACGCATATCGAGGTCATGGTGAAAAGCACGCTGAAACAGTGACTATAACTGCTTTCGTGAACGAGCCAAACAGAATTGCATTAACACGTTAATACCAGCAGCTGTCAGCCGTCAAAACGCCGACATGGCAGCAGGGTATCGTGAAGCGGTGACTTTTGCCTTATTTTATGCCATTCCTATCATCCATCACACGCAGCTAGCTGATTTTGTTGATAATGTGGACGAACAGCTGCTCTGATTAGTTACCACATTCTCCAAGTGCGAACAAAATGATAAGCATTGGAATGGGAAAAGGCATCGTTCCACAAATGCACCCAGCAGCTGCGTGAAGGAAACCATGAACTAAGCAACTAAGCTTTAGCTTCGAATCGTCTGCGGCTATACAGTAAACCAATTTTTAACATTTTGATGCATTTTCAGAACCTGAAAATACGTCGACGAAGTCTAAAACATGCGTTGACACCATGAGAAACCACCGCTGTTAATCAAGGATAGGCGCTGCCGTTGCTCAATAGCGATGGCTACGAGGCTGCCCTGCTTTGCCAAAAGAAGGGCAGCCGCATTGCCATCACTATCGAGGAATGGTGGCGCCTATCCTTGATTAACAGCAGTGGTTTCTGGTGGAGCCAGCGCGTATTTTAGACTTCGTCGACGTATAGCAATAAATATCGGAGCCTGGAATCGCATTGTGAAATTTCGTTGAAGCGGGATGGCAGAAGAAAAAGTGTTCGCTGTGGCGACAATATTTATGCATTGACTCCTATGGACTGCTGACGGGGAACCGTGAATTTTTCGTTGTAGCAGGAACTTCGTTATAGCGGCATTCGTTATAGTGGGGTTCAACTGTATTAGCTGTTTTGCCTCAGGTGTCAATGCTTTTTAGCATCGATATCTCGCATAATCGGTGCTTTGCTTGGTGCTCTTGATCTCGTTTCATTTACAAGTCGACCCATTATACTGTTAGCAGATTATTAACTGTTTTGTCTGAGGTGTGAATGCTTTTAGCACTGATATCGTGCATAATCGGTGCTTTGCTTTTTGATTTTAATACCGTATCTTTTACAAGGCTTTTACAAGTCGACTCGTCAGTCTGTTAGTGGACTACTACCTGTTTTTTCTGAAGTGTCAATGCTTTTTAGCACCGATATCTTGCATAATCAGGGCTTTGGTTGGGGCTTCTGATAATTTAAATTTTTTTATGTGTGGGGTTTAATGTCCCCAAACCACCATATGATTATGAGAGATGCCGTAGTGGAGGGTTCCGGAAATTTAGACCACCTGGAGTTCTTTAATGTGCACCCAAATCTGAGCACACGTGCCTACAGCATTTTCGCCTCCATGCTTGGCGCTTTAGATCTCGTATCTTTTATAAGGTGTTCATTTGAAAGAAAATGGCAGGAAAGCTCAATAAACCTCCCCCCCCCTCCGCAACTTACGCATCTATTCAATTGATATTGAATACTGCACCGATGTGCGAGTAGAAATAATTAAGTAAGCATGAGCCAACATAAGGATGATTATAATGCTGAAGCTGAGATGTGACGAGAGGTTGGCAAAGCAATGTAGAGCTCACTCAGGCTCATTCATGAAACACACCTCATGTTTAGAGTTCACTCGGACTCGCACTCACAAATGTTTTCCTCATTCGGACTCACTTGAACTCAGACTCGCTAAAGCTTTCCTGAATCGCACTCAGACTCACCAAACTATTACTCACACGGACTCGCTCAGAATCAAGGCTCCATCTGAGTCTGGATGAGTCTGAATGAGTTGTCTCATGAGTGAGTTTGCTGACCTATGCCTGACACACACCAACATATGCACGGAAGGGCGTTAGTGCATGATAAACACGATCCAGGTCATTAGTGTAGGTTTAACATGATCAACATGATTAGCATGAGATACTTGTTGCATGCGTCATAAAACCCTTTCCTTCAGTCATGTGTTGTACATGCCCGCATTCTACGGCCCAAGAAATGTGGGTATGAGCTACAGGTGACTGACAGTTTGTATCAAATGACGAATGTCAATAATATACTTTGAAAAAACCTTTACACAATTGTGTTATGGAGCTTGTATCGCAGGCAGGGCAAGTGTTGGCGGGATCGTCAGTGAGGGTAAAATTGGAGGAACGGAAAGACAGTAAATCACGGTGAGAGCCAGAATCTAACTCAGACATTCTATGGGGAGTTCTACCCCAGAGTATTCTACCCCAGTATTCTACCCCAGTACCCAAGTATTCTACCCCAGAGCTGCAGCAGTGCTTGAAACTGCTTATGAGAAAGAATCTGTAAGGGTCTTATATAGCGATAATATTAACTGGTTAACTGTAGTTTCAGTGCTTGCTATCGGCTTTTGCAACAATGTAAGGAACATTACATATTAACTTCTATAACTTGACATATTGACCAACCCAAAAGAATACAACAGAAACTGTTTCTTACTGTATATGCAGATCACACAGTAACGTGCATCGAATTTCGATAAAATAGATATCTGACATGAGTACCAACGTTACTTCGTACGATCCCTTTGGGCGTCACTGAAGTCGATGTGCCTGGTAAGCCCCCGATCATTGTTGTAGCCACATGGGTGAAAATGGGAAGGGCCCCATAGGTTTTTTCGACCTTCAAATGGTCGTGTCCTCCAATATGCACTTTGCTCAAATAGTTAATGCCTTCAGCAAGTGGTTCCTCGCCCTCCAAAAAAAAATTTATCCCCACAGGCATGCCCACCACATACACATAACTACCCAAAATGCACAAAAACGTCGGTCCGACTGGCAACGGTTAACTCAAAGCAATAAAAAAAAGAAAAAAATGGAAGAGAAGAGCTATATAGGCCACTACTTGCCTAGTGCTTTGCATGACATCGACTCCCAGAATGAGTCGGCGTGGGTCTGCTGTATTTTTTAACAGTGGAAACTGCTTAACAGCTTGCATGTTGTAACATTATGCTTGATTTGGTGCGTTCATAGTTTGGTAGCTGACATTTCACACCGGCAACGATTAGACGCAAGAATATTAGTGAATGGCTGGAGCAAAAACAAGCGTGTGACAGCAATATGTCCATTGCCACAAATTTAAAAAATTTTGGGGAATTATTGCGTACTCGTGAAGAAATTCATTCTCCGGGATACATGTGGAAACTAACCTGCATGCAAAGACCTAGTTTCTCAGCAGCTAACTTGCCAGCTGCTGTCCAAGGAGCGGGACTCTTGTCATCTCTTCGAAGCAAGTAGCGCCACACAAGGAAACCAGACTTGCCCTTTTCAGGCCAGTACTTCACCAGCTAAAATCAAAGAATCAAATGAAGGGGGATGTAAAACATTCAAAACAACCAGATTTTGTAACACACACAGCAAGAGACTCAAGAATGGGCGGGTGCCTATGGATCATGACCATGTTTGCATAGCACTTCTGCATGGACAGAAGTGCTATGCAAACATGGTCATGATCCTCTGACACTAGTAAGTATGATCCCTACGACACCTCTGACAATATGATCCTCTGACACTATGCGACAAAAAAAAAAAGAGGAAAAGACAGCTAACATAGCAGAAGACATGTTACAGAAGAACACTTTTATTGACCCCAGAGTCGTGTATAAGAAGAGGTAGTCTGCCAGGCCATGCCTGTCAGCCGGGCTCACAATAAAAGTATAACAGAGTACAGTTACACGAATACAGATACTGGATTTTTAATCTTCTTTTTTCACTTTAGGGATCCTGACGCTCTGCCAAGACTTACATTCAGTGCTTCGGTGATATGACGATAATATTATGATTAATGTCCCAGCACACTGAAACTTACAAGGCAAGCACATTGCTCAAATCGCAAGTGAACACTCCAAATTACAAAAAAAAAAAAATGTGTACTTTTCGCTCGCTGAGAAGTTTGAAGTGTAAACTTCACTTCCACAATAGCAGCTTCTCAAATAGGCTGTCATTTAGACTGTGTCAGCTCGGCCTCAACGCAAGACTCATGAGGTCCAAAATTTTTCCACCTCAGAAGAATTCCAGATATGGCCCCTACCATGAGAAACAGCAACTTTCACCAGCAGAGAATGCGAATTATTGCTTCAGTGATTGTACTGTTAGCGGTGTTGAGCATTTTACCATATGGGCCATTCTGAGCACGTGAGAAATCCTTCACCACCCTCACTGTGTCGCCAAGCCAGAGTCACCAAGCCAGAACTTGGATTCAGAAAAACTTCTTATATCCCCCTCGGAAACACGTCAGCTCATTTTAAACAAAAAAGTAACGATATAGCTCTGTCCTGCACTGTATCGCAATATAATCGATACATTGTGAAAGTATTTCACTACCGAGATACAAATACATTTTGCAAATGCATCTCATTACAATAATACAGACACTCAGAAGAATCTCTAAGGTACTATCGCAATACTGCTCAGCACTGCCTACCAGCCACCTCCCCAGCTCTACTTGTGGTCTGTCGCTGGACCCTGGGTTGTTGAACAAAGCATTTTTTTTTACCACACCACAAGTGAGGGAGCAACCAGAAGATTAGCTGGTGGAGGGTCTTCCTTGCAGTTCCACATGATGTGATGGAGGGTGGCTATTTTCTTGCATAATGAGAAATTGGTACCAATGAGGCCAGGGTAGATACTATATGAGTAAACATATGGGAAGGGGAAAGAACGTGTCTGACTCATTGACGCATGTAGTTCACAATTGCCTTAGCCAGTCAGTGCGTTATAAACAGTCTATAAATATAATTTTTGTTTTCTATGCAATGTTATAGAAGTGTGGTGACAGCTCCATAAAACCCCATATGAAGGCTTTTAACAAGTCCTTTTAAACTGTTAATTGTCACAATATAGTATTGCACTTTTACCCTGCATGATTCAATAGCTATTAGCTGGTAAATGAACATCATACACATATCAGTACGAGATACACCCATGCCTACAATAAATTTAACAGGTAGAAGGTAGAGTAAGAGAAATACTTAAATCTTTTTTATTATTCCATGAAAAACCTTTTATGAAATGGTTAGCTCCTCCTTTGCGCCACTTCAAAGCCAGAAAACTAATATTTCATAACCAATATTAAATGACACACCTTGTATATTCCATCGTAGCGGTAGCCATCTTCAGGACAATATTTGGAATGCTTTCGACCTTTAAAGCTCCTTATCACTCGTACAGGCTTCCCATCTCGCCAGTTCTTTGCTTCGGCACCATTTTTAGCATTTATTGGTGCCGCACAGTTTCGTGCAAGAGACCTAGAAGACAACAAGCACCTTGATTACACCATACTTGAAAACTACATTTGTTATAACAAGATTGATTGTTGGCCATGTTTGTTATGTCAACCTACACAATACTGTCTCATTATGTAAAATTCATTGCCCATAAAAAAAGACTATTTCTAACAAAACGAGATACAAACATGTAGTTAAGATACTGTGAGCCTTATCAGCAATCACTGGAGGAAGGCCATAGACAGTTTATTAATACAGTGTAGATATAACACAATTACATAAGTATAAAAATCTAAATAGTATAGACATGAATTAATCCATTCATTCAAAGTATAAAAATCTAAATAGGATAGACATGAATTAATCCATTCATTCAAATACATAGTATACTACAGTCGAATCTCATTAATTCAAACACGCTTGATTCGAACTTACAATGGAGTCCCATCAAAGCTATGTGTATTCCAATGGGCAAAAACACCCTCTAATTCCAATATTTGCTCTCTCTCAAATGCCGATCTGCGACGCGCCTGTGCCCCGCTTCTCCCTTTTCTGTCCCTGCCACATAAAGACCCTTCTCCTTTCAATGCCGCACAAAAGAGAGAGAGGAAAAAGAAAACTAACGGAGAGTTGGCTCTCTCTCACACACTGGTGCCACACTTTCCCGTCCCGGCCACATAGACCCTTCTCCTTTTAACGCAAAAAAAAAAAAAAGCTGCCGTGGAGCGTTGGGTCTCTCTCAGATGCCCATCTGCTTTTCTCCGCATAAAGACGCTCATCCTTTCTTGTCACGTGCTGGCCACGTTGTGGCTGCATAGAGGTCACGCAATCGTTGGTGTCCTCGTCCAAGCGTAGGCATTGGACATTGCCGCGCGCAACATCTTTTGCCAGGAGAATGCTGAAGCCGAAGTAGAAATGCTTTGCAAGCTGCGTGCCAAATTGACTCGCTGCAAGGAAAACGTGTGCAGACGTGCATCACCGATTACTTCAAGTAATGACGGATGTCTTGTGATTTGTGAATGAATGTAAGTCTTCTGAAACTTCCCCCTTGTGTGTTAGCTCAATGCACATGCGCCACTGCATGGTGAGCCCTCCATTCATACAGCTTTCATTAATTCGAACTTCTTTTAATCTGAACAAATTTTAGGGCTCTTTCGAGTTCGAATTATCGAGATTAGGCTGTACTAAAAACACTATTAATAGCAGGAAGTCACACAAATTGTGCAAAATTCAACTATTAGCAATCAGTAGTGAGTTTTATATCTTTGTTTTTGGTGTTTTGTTATTTCTCAGCCTTGGAACGTTCAATTTTGATCAGATCATTTCTGTTGGGTTTTGTGAAATGTTCGATTTAGAAATGTAAAAGGCTGAAAGCCGATATTTTAGCAAGTCATATATGTTTTGAAAACATGAATAAGAAGAGCACACTTCTTCAGTCATTCAAGTGGATACATGAAACCTTCATCGCTTTTGTTCTAGGAAGTCAAAATCATTAGAATACCCTTATTGCTTTCCTTGACAAGTAATCCAATGGCCCTTAGCACAGCAATACCTGTGCTGCCAGTTCGATAAAAATGTGATGAAATAATTAGGCATGTATGCGAAATTCGACCACTTTGAATATTCAAACAAATGTTACCATATTAACATTTACTTAAGTTTGACATGAATATAAATGACTCGAATTTTCAAAGTATTCAAAAATAACCAATTGGTGTATATTGAATGACATGTAACCCCTTGTAAAGGTCATTTCACTGCAGCATGGAAATGCTATGCCGTGAAAAACACCTAAAAAAGTGTCACGAAGCCCCTTTCAATATTTAATGAACCTACAACCTTCACATCGATTCATTATTGAAAAGTTTAAAAGTGTGTGATACAAGCTTATCAGCTCTAAGTACAGTAAGTTTTAAAACACAATAAATTTTACTGGTTATCACTTGCATGCTACCGCTACTGTAGTTTCCTTTCACCTCACTTCGACCCCAAAAGTGAAATTCGCACAATCCTTCTTCCAATTAAAAAAAATATATATTATGCAGGTTAGTTGGATCATGACAAATGTGCTCATTGTTCTTAGTAAATGATGGTACTATCCAAGCTATTCAGTTCATGATATATTGGACCAGATCACTATTCCCTTCGTATCTGCTAAGAGCCTCAAATATACCATTAGCGCATCCCTACAAATAATGTTTTCCTTAATACAGTAGAGTCCAGCAGTTAACAGCTCTGGGTGCTAAGTTTTCCGGCTGCATTAATTTTCGGCCAGTCCCAGCATAGTTACGTCGCAACTGTAGTACTGTTCCCATAAGATACATTACAAAAGGCATGCTGAGCTGGCCGGAGCGGCCGTGGAGAATGGCTATCTTGAGTTGTAACGCACTTTCACCCGACTTGAACACAAAATTAGCAGTCACTGTGAAGTGTTTTCTATTACTACCCGCAAAAGTATAGACCTTAAGATATGTATTTGGTTTTTACATGGCATCACAGACTACATTGAAACATTAGATTGATGCCATGACTTGGTTTAGAAAAAGTTGTTTTTCAAAATGGTAAAGCCTCCTCGAATATCCACTTGGCTATGCCACAGTCCTTCGATGCTTTACTGGCCATGAAACTCCACCCGTAGTTTCCTACAGGGACAGAAGCCGCCACTATTGTCATTGCAGTCAATGCAGGGGCACCCGTGCATGCGCATTGCTCTCGGCTGAATGCTCTGCCGCTTCGAGGGAATGGTTTATCTTGCACCAAACCGTGATAATTTAACTACCTCTCATACTTCCCCTGACATACAATGTGATATTTGCGTATGCACGTGAAAAACTTACTTTCGCACATTTTTTTAAAGATATCAAGGCTTTGATGGGTCCGGTCGAGTTGAATGCAATATTTGTTGCATTTTTTGTTCCAGTGTGGCTCCTTGCCTAAGGCAGTGGAGCACGAGAATATTTACTCAGGCACATGATATCTACTTAAACTTTTGACAATGCAAAAGCCTTATAAACACCCCTACTCGGCAAACAGTTTTCGAGCAAGAGTTAAGCCAGTGCTGATCATGCTATTTACGATCAAACCACCTATGCTGCAGTACATGACCACATTACAAAAAAGAAAAAATTCCCCAATCCTATGTTTACAGTTCATAAAAGCTAACTTCACTCCGCTGCCGCTTAACAAGCATAGATTTGGCAACACTTAAAATCGGGAATGACGAGGCTTTTGCAATGCAACGTCCATGTGCAGCATCAATACATGCTGATCTCTGGGGTCTACATATAGCCTGGCCTTAACTCGGAGCTTGCAACCACGTTCTATTAATTTCTGATGTGCAACTTCGACAATTAGATGTCACATGGACAATATTGCACGAGATAAAAAGTGTCTCGCTTTACTTTGCACAGCATCGCAAGGGAACTTGGAGATGGTGGCACCTTCGCAAATAAGAACGTGCGTTACTTTTACTGCTTAGATGGACTACGCTTGCACTACGTGATCCAATAATTTTTTTGATGAAGACTGTTCAGAGGATAGACTTGATTAAATTAAACGAAACAATGTTTCTCTAATCTAGAGAAAATAAGCACATATATTCACAAGCAGAGCTCTGCTGCGCTTTCGATTGATTCATAACATGGAAAACGCAACACAGACAAAATGCTCAAAAACGAGTCCAGCTGAGGAAACACTAACGCCCACCGAGTCCATACCTTTATATACTGTATATAATTGCTTGTTTCAATGCATATTACCACGTTCCTTTCCTCAAGTTTTGTTATCGTCCCATTACACTATGTTCAGCACAAACTTCGCTTAAAGGGACACTTAAAGGCATGTATTAAGTCGACGTTGATTGTTGAAATAGCAGTCCAGAAACCTCGTAGAGTTACTTTTGTGCCAAGGAAGGACCCGTTTTGAAATAAAATCACGTTTTAGAGGTCCGAATCGGGTTAGCACCCTTCAAATTACCCGCCTTAAGAAGCGGACCGACCGGACTGACTCACGTCACAGTTGCCATGCACAGCATTGCCTGGCTTTACTGCGCTAGTAGCAGTAGACCGGAAGCAGTGGCAGCCACATCGGCAACAAGGGCCATTGATCAATTTCCCGCCATTGGCTCCGAGATTGCAGACGCTTATTGCTTCAACTGCACCCCACTAGATGGCACCACCCATCCAGTGTAACTAGGCACAAATTGACTTTTTAAACCACTCGTGCCATTCCCTATAGTAACGTCCGGCGGTTCCTTTTTTTATTAATCAAACAGAAACAAACAAGCAGCATTTCATTGCATCTCTTAATGCACGGAAGGTTCTTTATTTAGTGCAGCCAGATAGATTACTAGTGAATAATTATAGGTCGTCCGTCTGATGTCATCGGGAGCATTTTAAGAATGTCCTACTGCGGCGCATGTGTTCTTGTGCATTTACCTTAATTTCTCGGTAAGTAGGGCACTTTTGTTAATAATATTGTCGTTTTAGATGTCATACATTGAGCTTTCACTCTGACGTACCGTAAATCGTTATTTGACATTAGTGTCCCTTTAAGATGTACGAGGAACTTCGAGCCTGTAGTAGATCGTTTTGTTAAGATGACACCCACTACTTGAGCATTACAGCATATTCTGGAACCTACATCACCGCTAGCGATAATACTAGAATATTCAATGGCAAGGGTATAAATGCCGACACACTTCCACTTGTCAGTTGATCGATGGCCGACGCTTTGCTCGCCGCTATCAGTGCCAGTGTCTTGCTGTATTCTGACTTTCCGTTTACGTGGCCACAAGTTCGGTTGAAATAAAGAGTTTATTATTCATCCTGCAGTCTGCTTTCTTCGTCTACTTCACGACCCCGCGACATCTGGTGGAGGCGCTGTCTCTTCCATGTACTGAACCCATACGCCACCGTCAAACTGTGAACCCGGCCCACGCTGTTAAGAAGACACTGAAGCCAGCCACAAGCAGCAAATACGAGCTTTTACCAGACAAAACTGAGAAGACCAAGACGTTGACG